AGCTGATAGTGGTGTTTTCAATCCCAACAGAGAGAAGGATGAATTGACATATGCCCTAGAGAATCTCGAACACGGTGGTCGAACAAGAGGCTATGGGGCGGTTCCATGGCTACACGCATTCCCAGCAGACAAGGATACCTACAGAAGTCGCCAGAGAAAGAAGGATGAGGAGGCGAGAATCGAATCCGCATTGGAGCAATTTATTGATGAGTCATGACAAGCATTGCTTGAATCACGTGAACGAGAAAAATCTCTTGAGGCAAGAATGCAGGAGGAGATCAAGAGGCAAGTGCAGCTAGCAATGAGTCAAATGCAATCGCAATCAACGCCGGAGTCACCATTAGCCCGCTGGTCGATGAAAAGCGCTTGTGCTTCCACGGAGCTGCCAGTTATTCAAGATGACGCTGGGTTGCGCTTCCCTCGCTGATGACATTACCGAGCCTCTAACAACATGTGAGTCTGCACATTCCGGATGGCAATAATGCATCAATCATGGTGGTCATCGGGGTTGTATCTCCAATAGACCGAACGAAGACACCAAGAATCCATGGGTCAGCTTATTCAACCCGGATATGCTAGCGCCTCGGTCGATAGAGTGCTCAAAGGTTACAACAATGTTCCTCTTGACATTGAAGGCGGTGATGGGGAGAAGACACTAGGAGAAGCAGAGAAGACATTTATTCAATGGCGCAAACGCTTCATCATCATTCCTGGGCGCCACCGCTTCCCTACCTCACCCTAGGTACGCGAATGAAAGTGAATGAAATATTATTTTCCATTAATTTTCTATTGGCTTCAAAAATAATTGACACACAACTTATTTTTGTAGCAGGTCTCCCCAAACCCTAGCCCAATCATTCATTCCCCATCTCATCACAAATAAGTCAGGGGCGAGACGACTTCATCCCCACGGCGATCGCTAACTCCTACACCGCCCCATCGCCTCCACAACGATCTCCAACTCCTACACCGACCCCACCGCCTCCACAACGATCTCCAACGCCTCCACGCCGGTCTCCACCAACATCGGCCTCATCGCCTCCACGCCGGGTCTCCAACACCGCCCCACCCCCTCCCACAACGACGCACTACAAAGACGCCTAAGGTCCCAAGGCAAAGAAGACCCCGAGAAAAAGAGTTATTTCTCAAGAAATACTTCCTGAAAAACACCGATGAGCAAATAGCAATTTGAAGAAGACACAAAAGTGAAAGATTTTTTATAGATATCAAAAACAAGAGTCAAGCGAAGCTTAAGGAGAAGCAATACTTTTTACATACCACGAGATGTCTTTGAGGGAGAAGGTCGATGCTCACAAGAAAAGATGATTGAACTTCATAAGCCTTCGCCACTATCGACTATGACCGCTCCCTCGTGAAGTCACATGATGCGAGATAAGAAAAGGAAAAGAGCATCGTGGGAAGGATGTCCCACAACTCGGACAATGTAGCAACCAATACAAAATCTTGTTGTTGCTAATGAATATGGTTCCAACATAGAAGTCTATCGACCGCATAACCTGTGGAGAAGTGTCGGTTCAAGCCCTTAATGCTTTTTTTTGAAGATACTGGTTTAACCTTGGATCAATTGACGGGTAAAGCTCCAATCCGTAACCTAGAAGTTGATACCGGAAGACTTATAAATATGGCAAAAGTCCAGCACAACCTCGGCTCTCAATGAATTGGATACAAAATGTACTTGCTCAACAAGTGGTACATGCAAAGGCGTGTGGCGTGGGTGAGCAAAGGATCTTTGTCGATTTAGAGACCATCATTACTTCGTATGGCGATGACATCTTACATATTAGTTTCAAGAATTGCATCAACTATACCACATGGACGCCCGGACAAATCAATCATTAGCTCCTTTTGTTTGTAAGTGATTCTTACTTTTATTTAATAAACTCACTTCCATGCATACGTGTATATAATTATCCTCACATGTAACTTATATTTATATATAGATTCCAGATGTCAGAGCTCCAAAGAATACAAGACACCAGTGTTGGCTTCATTGATCCTTATATCGTATTCAAAACCGGTATTATTGTCAAGGAGCGGTGGGTATCTAAAGCATAGGAGAATATCATGATGTTCTTCGTGAAGCAGCACGACAAGATAACAATACTTTTCCCGTACAACTTTGAGTAAGTGTTAATAATAATGTAGTCTACACATTTTATGTAATATCAATACAACTTATATGTATATACGTGTATAAAACCAATGCAGTTTCACTCGATACTCATTGTCATTGAGTTAAACTCAAGTCGCTTAGTAATCTTTGACTCGTTGAGAAAAGAGCGGCACTATACCAAGATATGATAGACATTATCCGTGGGTAATTTCGATCTCTCACAAGCACAACTATTATTGAATAGACTTTGCCATAATTTATTAATGATCGTTACATTATTGGTCGCATGTGGTTTGGAAAGAGTTTATTCGGCAACATCGCAAGGATTGCAAGGCACCACTTAATGTAGTTGAAATACCAAGAAAGTTGTACTATATACACTTCCCCACGTGTTTAATTACTATATCGTACTTCAATTTACGTGTGAGCCGATGAGAATAATCTTCTTCTCGTGACAAAGGTGTTTATGGCAAAGAACTGTGTAATAACTTGTGTGGATACTACGTTTGTGAATTTATCATCACAAGCACATAAGAAGAACTCCTAAAGATGTCCTCGAAGTAATGATATATTAATTTTTATTTATTTTTAAATGAATATATATATATATATATATTAATACTTTTCCTTTTATTTCAAATGCAAGACCTGAATGTTTGAAATGAAGGGTTATGCAAAAAGACCATCTCGAAAGCGCTTCAAGAGTCAATAGCGAGGATTTCTTCTAGAAAAGTGCTAAATCCCAACGGCAAGTTCTACTTTGATCCTAAGGAATAAATGATGTAAATTAAATGTTTATTGATATCGTTATTTTCGAGAACAAGATTATGAAAGTGTTGTATATATACATATATATATCTATAATATATATAGGTTCATACTTTATTCAAATATAATAATGCTCGAGATGAGAATTAGATGTAATTATATGCGTGCGTGTATTTATATTAGCAGCGTAGAATACGTACATAAAAACATATTATATATTAAACAAATACGTGTAACTGAACTCAAAACAAATTAAACAAAAAAAAGAAAAAAAAAGGAACCTTTAGTCCCGGTTGGGGTTACCAACCGACTAAAAATCTTGCCACGCTTGCTCGGCTGGAGGGCCTTTAGTCCCAGCTTCGATGACCTGTGGACTAAAGGTGGAACCTTTAGTCCCGGGATCGTTGTCCCGGCGCGGTAACCGGGACTAAAGGCCACATCCGCCGGGACAACAAGTCCATTCATGCAAAGATGGCACACCCACCCGCGCCACGCACGCACACAGGCACACCCGTCCCGGCCGCCGCGCCAGCCTGCCCCGCCGCCAAAAAACTGAAGTGGCTTGTAATCCGACATCTTGAGCTAATCCCAGGATCAAATTCATGCACCACTTGTTCCCTCTCAAAACTGAAGTTTTTATTTTTGTGTGATTTTCGGAGGTATTTTTAGTGATTTTTGGTTCGTCGAATTTGGCTGTGATTGGGGTGAAACTTCTTGAGGGATTTTGGTGCTAGGACATGTGTGATCAAGGCTAGGGTGATCCCCTAACAAATCCTTCACTTGAGCACCACGATTTTGTTTTTGGGGATTTTTCGAATTCTCGCACGTGATCTGGATTTGCTGGAGTTTGAGCACGAATTGAGCGATGATTTCTTGGGAATAGCTTACCTACTCTGTGGTGATTGCCTATGCAAAGTTTGGGGACGAATCCTTTTGTTTTGGTCGAGTTCCCGTCGAATTTTTGGTGCTCGCCCGTGTCTGTTTCTTGCGCTCGGTCCCAGTTCGTAATTCTCAGGTGCAGCTCGCAGGCGCTGGTGCCTTCACCGGTCAAAACCTGTGTGTGCTCGTGCAAACCCGAGCCTGCTCCCTCCCTCTGTTTGCAGTTCGGCGCGGCAGTGTCCAGTCCTCGCCGAAGCTCACTCGCCTCTGGTTGGCCGTGCTCAGCTTCCAAGCACCAATCGGTGCTCATCCAGAACCCGTGCACGCACAGCACCAAGAGCAGGAGCAGCAGTTCACATTAATTGGATTTTCAGCAGCAGTAGGCTTTTGCTAATTCCATTTTCAATCGGCAACTTGGCTGACTTCTTTCTTTTGCCACAGGGTGAAGGTTTGCAATGCTTTGGATTCAGAGCAGCAGCTGGACATGGATTCAGTGCTTGTGCAATATAAGCACCTTGCTGTGAATTCATCAGTTTGAGCAGGTAAGCAACAAGTTTCAGTTCTCAAACTCTCAATTGTTACTTTTGTGCTTCACCGACCAATAATCCAGTAATTGTGACATGTTTGCCTGCAGCTCTAATTAATTATTCTAATGCTCGGTTCATACATGCTTGGAATTAAATACTTGTTTAATCCTTCCTAGCTTTGAAATAGGATGCATGTGTGTCGGCAGTAGAACTGCTTGTGTACCTTGCTAGTTCTCTAGATCGATTCTCTGTTTTGCAGTATTTCTTTGTACTGAACTTAGCATATCTACACTGTCATCTATTTAACCTTGCACATAATCGAAAGGACATGGATTACAATACATTTGAACTATTTAATTGTAATTTATGCAACCTCTGGGCTGTTTAATTGGGCGTGATGATGTTGGTGTAATTTACATTTTTGTATATATGCTCCTAGACATTCACTAATTTGCTGCTTAATTGCAGCAATATTGTAGTATTAGGTGAGTGTGTTTAAGGATGAGTTACCTTTTGCTGCACTTTATAACCAGAAATGAAATGGTTGTAGTAGGTGAGTGTGGCTAATGATTTGTGCTCTCTGAACTATACCTTTTCTTTCAGTTCCACACATTTTATTCACACTCTCATGGTATTACAATTAAACTGAAATGATTTGTGCTCTCTAAATTATTTGTCTTACCATATAAAGATTATGTGTTATATTTGTGAGGACTCTGGGCAGTCCAGACTTCAGTACATGTTCCAGCACGGGACGTCGGTGTCGCAGGCCAAGTGGAGCATGGCGTCCAACGAGTCGCTCTCAGGCCAAGTGGAGCATGGCGTCCAACGAGTCGCTCTTCAGCATCCAGGGCGCCAACGACCTGTACCCCGGCAGCAGGTCGCACTTCGACTTCTACTACTATGAGGCCATGGCGGAGGCAGTGGACTCCAAGCTGCCATCCTAATGTACTGCACTGCACCGTGATGCCCGTTCTTGATCTTGTCTTGTTGGCAACAACCATGCAAATTAAGCAATCACCTGCATGCAGACTGGCGGAGACATCGCCGAGGAAGAAGGACGTCGTCAACAGCGCGCTGTACCAGCCGCTGGAGAAGGAGCGCGAGCAGCAGCCGCCGCCGCAGCTCGAGCCCCCCGTGTCACCCTTCATGGAGATGACGACGGAGGAGGAGCGGCGGAGGAGCGACACCGGGTGCTGTTGCTGCGGCTGCTGCTGGTTCGATTGCTCCTGGTGCTGTCGGTGCCCGTGGTGGCGATGCGGCTGCTGCTGCAGTTGCTCCTGCCCCAGCTTCTGCCGGTGCAGCTGGTGCCTCTGCTCATGAGAGAAATTGGCATTTGGATCCGACAAACTTGGTGCCAAATGGGAGCTTTAGATGGGTAGGCATCATCCCTTGAGAGGTTAGATCCTAGATCCCTTTCGGCGTCTCCTGCTTGTGTTTTCGGAGGATTATTGGGCAGACAGGGCTTAGCATGTGCACGTCAGCTGGAACAGTTGTATATGCTGAGAAAAAAATATTTTTTTTTCTTTGGAAAATAGGTTTGCCAAGTGTAATTTCAAAAAACACTCGGCAAATAGTAACAGTATGCTAAGAAAAAAATATTTTTTTTCTTTGGAAAATAGGTTTGCTGAGTGTAATTCCAAAAACACTCGGCAAACAATAATCCTTTGCCGAGTGTATTTTGGAAAAAACACTCGGCAAATCACTTTTTTTTGCCGAGTGTCAAATTTGACACTCGGCAAACCATTTGCCGAGTGCGCGATAAAAACACTCGGCAAATAGCTGTTTGCCGACACTGTAGATGCCGTGTGCTGTTTGCCGAGTGTTACACTCGGTAAAGCCTTTGCCGAGTGCCTGTGGCACACGACAAAGTCACTATTTCCGGTAGTGTTAGTTTGTTGTTTTTCAATAAACTTCATATAGCTCAAATATACAAATCCATATCGTGCAACTAAACCTCAGTCCCTTGAAAAGATCCTGTCCAAAGCTTATGATTTTCTTGGTCCCAACTTTCTTATCACCAACTTAAGTGCTTTCATACCAAAGTGCCACTTCCATGCAACAAATGGCACTCCAGCGAACCAACAGTGATAGCGATTTCACTGCCAGCTCTAATTGGTACTGCGACCTTCCACCTTCAGACAGCGGTGGAACTTCTTATCATTGCTGGTCTGTAAGTGTGTTGCATATTGGGTGACTAATCGGCAGTGCTAAATGTGTTATAGCCGGTTCCGCATATGATACAACAACGAAGACCGGCACTATTTTCACTGCCGAATCATACGTCGAACTGGCGGTGGAAATTTCCATCACCGCCAGTAAAGTCATCCATTTGCGCCCCACAGCCTATGAACCGGCAGTGAAATATATCACCGTCGGTTCTCATATAACCGCCGGTGAACATGTCGATGGTGATCATCCTTTGTGTAGTAGTGAAAGTCTCCGAAATTACACTTCAATCATTTATTTATTTTATTCGAATTGTTTATTCTTATAAACTTATTATAATCATATATATATATATATATATATATATATATATATATATATATATATATATATATATATATATATAGTCGATGTGAGCAACAGTTTTTAGAGCTGCTAATTCATCTGTTCACCTCCCTACCCCCTAGCACAGCCTCCCTCCCTCAGCTTAACGCATTGCATGTTCAATTGCACAATTTGCACACAAGCGCACAGCCATACAGGCATTATTGCCATTTGCCGTATCCATTATTCATCTGCCACAAAAGCGAACGGGCAAAACCACACAGGCATTATTGCCATTTGCCGCATACATTCATCTGCCACAACAATTTATGTACCTGAAGTGTACCATCGTTATTGCCTTCGCATTTAAATAGTTGTGCTACTGCTCTCCTCGGCAGTGGATCCAGCTGCCCACGCCACCAGTATGGCAGAGCCACAACCGGTAGTGGAGCCTCACGCCATTGCCGGTAGCAGCCCCAAGCCGCGATCCTTGGGCGTCGGAAGCCAAAAAGGCGTGGAAAATGGTGTCGACGACGCGAGATGTCTAGACACCAACAACGTACCATCACCGCCCTCCCCCATCATGTCCATGCTCCGAACCAAGCAACCCATCGGTACTTTCACCGGCAGCATCCAGGTGCCGCCATGAACGCCATGCCATCTCCACCTCCTCCTCCGGCACAGCGCTGCTTCCGACCGAGCGAGTGCCACCACATCTTCCTCCAGCCGCCTCTATTCCCGGCACCGCGAGCGAGCACCACCACATCTTCCTCCAGCTGCCTCTATTCCTGGCACCGCGCCGTCTCCGACACAATGAGCATCGGTCGCCACAGCCCTGGTCCTCCAGACACCTCCACCTCCATCGTCACTAGGTCAAGGCTATCATCTGGGCGAGGCGTGCCATGTCGCTGAACGAGCGAGTGCCCGAAGATGTGTGAAAAGATAGAAAAGGAGAGCAGGCAGGGTCACGGGTTCAAACTCGATAATCTTTAGCTCAGGTTCAAACTGGATAATATTTTTACCTTAGTTTGTGCCTCTTTATATGATCATATATTTTCATTTTTAAGCTTTCGTATTTCATAGCTTTTAAGGATTAGTTTACCGGATATGTAGTATAATATGAATACTACTACATTTTATCTTTTCGTTTTGGCTTTTCTACTAAAGCCACGTGTATTCCAAAACTCACAGCTAGGGGATGAAAACGGATCGGATAATGACGGATATCATTGATATTATATTTGTT